AAGTTGTATGAGATGTCGTCGAATATTGTGTCAGATGGGAATATGAGTTTTCATCGAGATTTTGGGAGAGTTTGCAGACGCTTTGAGTACCATGTTAAAGTTGAACTCTTCCTATCATTCGTGGACGGATGGACGGACAGAGAGAACTATCCAGTCTTTAGAGGATTTGTGGAGAACTTGTGTGTTGGATCAAGGTGGATCATGGGATAGTTAATTATCGTTGATTTAGTTACCTACAATAGCAGTTATCATTCTGGTATCAGAATAGCACCATATGAGGATTTGTATGGTAGGAGGTGTAGGACTCCTTTGTGTTGATATGAGTCAGGCGAGAGTGATGTGCTCGGACCTGAGATTGTGTAAGAGACGATTAAAAAGACCAAGAGGATCTAAGAAAAGATGTGTTTTGAGAGTTACGATAGTAACTGGTGTTGGCCGAGCTTTTGAGTCTCGGGAGCTCACACCATGTTTTGTGGGTCTGTATCAGAGTAGCACAGCGGAAGCGTAGGAGAAGTACCATTTTAGACTGTTTTACCGCTGTCGCTTATGAAATTTCATGATGTATTTCATGTGCCTAAGTGGAAGAAGTACATTGATTCGGATGGATGGTGTACAAGAGAAAGGTAATTTGACTGTTGAGGCATTGCTAGTTTAGGTTAATGAACGAGAAGCGACTTTGAGGTAAAGAGATTACCTTGGAAGAGGTGGTTTTGGGAGGACAACCTAGAGAAAGTTGGAATTGGGAACTTGGAGATCAGTTGAGGGAGTCGTATCTGACTCTGTTCCTTGAGGTATTTTCAAGGGCGGAAATTATTTTAAGTGGGGGAGAGTTGTAACACCCCTAATTTAATCGGAATATTTTAATTAATTTATTTAATTGAGAATATTCATATTTTTGGCGTTTTCGGTGGTTTTGGGAATTATTGGGGAATTATGCATATTTGGAGTATTTATTTTAGAATAATAGTATGTAATATGGATTTATTAATATTATTATGAATTAAAATAAATATAAGTGAAATAAGGGTAATTTGGACATTTGGAGGAGTTAGTAAGGGTAATGAAGGAAAAACAAAATTGGGAGGCCCAAGACTAAGTTGGACAAAATAGAATTCTGAAGAGATTTAGAATTCATTTGTTAACCGTGAAAGGAATGAGGCCAGAGCTCTGATGGATGGAGAAGTGGACGCAAAAGCTTCGGAAGATCCCGAAGTTAATCGTGAAAGCTGCGAATCGACTAAGGTATGGGGAGTATCGTTGTTCATGATTTTCTATGTATGCCTTTAGATGTGTTTATGGTTGGTTCATGTGATTTATGATTTAAGGTATTTTGGGTTGGCTGTGGGAAAATAGGGAATTTGATGATAAAGCTTTGAGGTTAGGGGTAATGGTATGTAACACTGAATATTGATATTAGAAAGGGAAACCTTAGGCCTTCGTGGCCAAACCTTGGATTGTGATATGTTTGACCCTGTAGGAATAAGAATGTTCAAATGTGAATAACTCTGGTGCACTCAGAGCAATTGCAGGAAAATAGTGTTTTAGGCAGTGCAAATGTTGCCGAATTGGCCTAATGAACCATAGGGTTTGTGTCGTTATCGCCATATGATCTTAGGGATGATTTGGGGATGTTTTGGGGGCATTGGGTATGTGAATCGTATGAGTTTTTAGGTAGAAATCAGTTCTGGTGTGTAGTAGGTTTTTGTTGTCATCGTATGAGTTGTGAATCGTATGCGAAGGCTCGTTACCAACTCGCCTAGCGAGCGAGCCAACGAACGTAGCAGAGTTTGCGAATATTGATCGTGTGCAACGATGCCGTGATGTTTGATTCTGGGATTCCTGTGATGAGTTACTATGAGTATGGCAGTGAGGTTGCATAGTAATAAATGATAGTATGAGAATTACCACGAGTGTAATTATGATGAATTAATATGAGGCAATGTGAGATGATATTAGGGATTAATATGTGAATACTATGTGATGATATGACGAATTAACATGAGTAGAACTGTGAAGTTTATGTGATTGATAGGCGATAGTGGGAGGATTACCGTGAGTATAATTTAATAAATTAATATGAGATGATATGGGGGTAGTATTATGAATTAATATGGGATAATATGACTATGAGTTAATATGTGATTTATATGTTATTATATGATGACATGATGTGTGAGATTAATTAATATGATGATATGTTGTATGATGAGTAATATGATGAATTATGATGATATGCTGTATGATGATTAATATGATGGATTATGATGATATGTTGTATGATGAGTAATATGATGAATTATGATGATATGTTGTATGATGATTAATATGATGGATTATGATGATATGTTGTATGATGAGTAATATGATGAATTATGATGATATGCTGTATGATGATTAATATGATGAGTTATGACGTTTGATGGTGATGAATATGATGAATGATGATGCACCTATGATGTTATTATGAGGATGATTTGTGAAGTGTGCATCATGCATTCATGTGCATTTGTACTTCGGTTCAGGACCTCGATTACTTTGGCTTCAATCCCACTGTGCGGATGTGAAGTATTTTGATGTGCTCCGATCCTATTGATGGGGATCTATGGAGGGTTGATGGCCCATTGTCCATCGCGTTGTAATGATTGGTACCGCATGCATTGAGTTGTGCCGCCTTTCATCTATGAGTTTTTTCGTATGAATTATGACGTTATGGCCTTTGAGGCATATTTGAAGGATATCAATGTGTTGAATATAATTATGAGTAATATGTCGTTTATGCATTAATTGTTATACATTGATTATTATGAATTGTTTTACTCACCCTGCCTGTTTGAATGTTACCTCCACGTGGGTAACGTGCAGATGAGCAAGTTTAGTCGTGGACGCCGTCGAGGAGTCTTTTGAAGTTTTAGAGTCATTAGCCTTTATGGTTAATTTAGAGGGTCTTGCTCTGATATGTAACATCGGGTTGGGTTCTTGGAGTTGATTTTATATCATTGAGTTATTTTACTGATGTTCCCTTTAGAGGAAAAACCTTGATTTATGCTTTGAGTTTCGTTGTTTTATGTATTTTGATGTACTTTGAGGAAAACCCGTCATTACGGAGTATTTACCAATTTTGTTGACTTTGAGAAATGTACGCGCTTTTGTGGATTTTTATGAAAGTTAATATTTTACTCTGAAATCCGTGTTATTTTGCCGTAATATCTGTGGGGTAGAATAAGGGTGTTACACCGTCACCCCACTTTAGCCAATCAAGTTTTGATTTCTATCTCAATATATTTTCCTCTAGTTTTTGTAGTTTTAGAATCTCTACTTTCTGCTCCTTAATTCGAGTTAATATCGTAGCATTCATCGGGTCAGCCTCAAGGGAGGATTGCGTTGTGTTTAATCGATTTCTGGCTTGAATAAGCTGCTGGTCATTATGCCGGGCTGGTTTACTGAAACTACGCAGAGCCGGTTGTAATCTCATAAGCTTATTCCACAAGATAAACATTGGATTTCCTATGATTGGGACGTTCCAATTATTCTCTACCAGTGCACCATATCCTTCAAAATCCATAATACAATTGTAAAATCTGAAGATTGGTTTTCTATACCGTTTGTGTACCTTATCAGTACCTGTCACGAATAATAGCGAGTGATCCGATACACTTGGAGGTAAAATATAGAGAGTAGTATCAGTATGCTATTGGAGCCATTTAACATTAGCAAACACATGATCAATGCGAGAATAGATTGTACATGCAGTGTGATTATTTGACCATGTATAGTAGCTTCCCTCACTTTCCTTCTCAAATAAGCCAACATTTTCCATCATACTGCATATGTCGATATATTCCGTTCCCGTCACATCATTTCCACCAATCCTGTCATTGCTATGGATAACATTGTTGAAGTCACCCATCAAAACCCAAGGGCCTTGCTGTTGTGCGTGAATGACAATAATATCTTTCCATAATACGCGACGTTGCTCGAGTCGATTCAAGGCATAAACAGCAGTTAACCAAAATAAAAAATTCCCAGCCATATCATGAACACCACAATGGATGAATTGACTAGAAGAAATAACAATTTTTACATCAACTTCATTTGAATCCCAATACAACCATACCCTGTCATTAGCATGATGTTGGTAGTTGTCTGCATAGCTGCCCCGCAGCATGAGTTTATTCCGAACAGCAACCACATTTTTCACTTTGACACGAGTTTCTTGTAACGCAATAATTTTTGGACGAAGTTCTAGGAGACGGGAGCGAATTTCCCTAAGCTTGCCCGTGTTGTTTAGCCCCCGTACATTCCACGCTGCTAGCATGGATCACCATCGACCAACATTTTTTAGACATTCATATCCCCCAGCAGACCAAATCCATTTGTACAATTTAATAGAACTTTATCCTTTGGGGTGCCCTTGTGTTTATCCCTTTCACTTTTAGTACTTGTAGTCCAGTTCTCAAGATTAGCATTCTTCTGTATATGTAGATTTGTGCCTTCAGTTGTTGGTGTACTACTAGGTTCAGCAGCAGCCGTAGCTGGTGTCATCCGTTCTACATCATCAGTTCATACATGTCCAGCCTTCTGTTTCTGTTTTGGCTGCCAGACTTTGACAGGTTTTGGAGCCTCACATATGTGACCAAACCGTTGACATTGCTCACAGAATTTTGGTTTCCACTCGTATTCAATAGGTTGAATCAATTTAGCACCATTTCTATCATTAATAATGATTTCCTTCACCAAAGCTTGGGTAACATCCACTTTGACTAACAGTCTTGCATACGAGATTCGAAACTTATTTGCAGTACATTCGTCTATTGTAACAGGGTTCCCAATTGCGCTACCAATCTTGCTGAGGCTCTTTTCCCCCCATAGGTGGAGCGGTAGATTAGAGAGTTTGATCCATATTTGTAATGTACACAACATATCATTCTTTAGATTAAATCAGGGCTTCCATTCTCTTAATAACATGGGCATATTTTGAATTGTGTAGGGTCCTTTCAGCATCACTTGATCCATATCCGTATGCGTTGAAATTTGAGGATGAAGTATCCTTCCTCGTGGTAGTGTATATTAGGAAGTTTGATGAAATTCCACACTCTTTCCATAAAATTCTTCACTGTATTCATACTGAGATCCCCTCCCAACACATACATGATCAAGGAATTTTCCCAAAATTTCAGTTCTGTTTCAACATCCTCGTCTTCAATAGTAATTTGAATCTCCCCGGCAACAATTGAAGGGGGAACATATTTCATAGACACACCTTTAGTTGGATTGTGATTGTCATTCAAAACATCGACCCAAAGCTTACGTTGCTCCTTTGGTTCTTGCGCATCTATTAATTCCATTGATTCTAGGATTTCAGCTTTATCACATGTTACATCATGTTCTTCTGTACCCATAAGTGCTTCCACGTGTTGTGAATGTTGCTTCGCATGTGGTTCATCAGTGTCTTGACTTTGTTCTGGCTGAGTCGTCTGAGGAATGGTGAGCTTCGGTGGTGGTGACACCGTTTTCTTTGGCTGTCCCCGTCCCCGTGAGCTTCCCATTTTTTTAATATCTTTAATATTATTAATATCTTTAAAGTTTAAATAGTCACAAAGTTTCAAATAAAAAATATTTGACATATATGACTATTATTTGCCAATAAAATATCTTTTATAAGCATAATTAAATATGAGACATGTATTTATTATTATCGAATAAATAAATTTGAAATGATATAATAACCATTTAGTTTTTCATTCTAAAAATATATAAACAATTTAGTTTTTAAACTTAACACATTTTCACTATAAAAGTAATTTTAAAGTTTTCTTCTTAGTTGTTTTCTCAAATACTACTAACTTTTTTTATCATTTAAATTTTTTTGATTAAAATTTGAGATTCTTACTTGAAATAAAATATATTTTGTAGTTATTTAGATTTTTTTTTAAAAATGTTAATAAAACAAAAGAAAATCAATAAAGATTTTGTAATTTTTTTAAACTTATAAAATTTTTAAAATAAAACAAAATCTTTTAAAAGAAATGATAAGTGATAGTTATGAAAAAATAATGATAAATAATAATCATGAAAAAGAAATGATAAATGATAAAAATTTATTGACACAGTCATTTTTATAAACGGTGACAAATTACAAATATTTTATAAATGGGAAAATTTTATATTATATGCTACAATTATTTTTACAAACGGAAGTAAGTTACAAATATTTTTATAAATCATTTTTTTTATTATTATTGATGTAATTACTTTTATAAACGAGAATAAGTCATATTGTAGGACCAATGAATGACTTGTGATCTTATGGTTACTTTATTTCACAATTATTTTGATTGACGGAAGTATTTTGATATGCTAAGAAACAATTTCTTTTATCTTTTACTGGCGTCCAAACGGGCACTCGTGCCCGTTTGTCCGCTTTTTTACCGTGCTAACGCGTGAAAATATTAACAACGTCTTTTTTATAAGTTTGATTTTAATATAAAATATTTATATGACAAAATATATTGTATTTATTTAGATACATATTAAGTTTTATTTGCAAGATGTAATATTCGTGTATTAAATTTTGTTTGAATTGAGAAAACCTTATTATGACGTGACTATATTTAACCGGTTTTGTTCAAGCAAATCAATAACGTAAGAGGGATGGTTACGAATACCATATTAAGGAAAAAGAAAATAGATTACACCAAAATTAAGTTTTGTATTTATGTATTGTTATAGGTTGTACAAAATCATAGGAAGATTTAAATAAAATAAGAAAAAAAACATTTTTCACGATTTTTATTAAGCTAATAACATAAACATTAACAAAGACATTAAGTGAATTGTTGCTTAATAGGAAGGTCAACTATGAAATCAAAATAAAAAATATCTGATTTTGTGACTTTGCAAAAGTATCTGAGTTTGTGACTTTGCAAAAAATATCTGAGATATTAACAAATAAAGTAAATTTTTAGTAGTCAACAATATAGTGTAATATAATGAGTGCACACCAAGTGTGACTTTGCAAAAGTATAGTTGAACGTTTAAATATAATAGATAAATACCTGAGTTTGTGACAATAATTAATTTTTTAAAAACTATATTTTTGGTAAACACCCCTTCTTTCCCATCTACTTTTCCGTCTTTAATTACCACTCTTGTGGCAGCACGCGAAACACCCCTTGATAAAGCAACGTACAATTGTTGTGACTGAAAACATGTCGTGAAAGATAAATTCCAACATTTGGAATTGTTTGTCCTTGTGATTTGTTTATAGTGATTGCAAAGCTTAGTTTGACGGGAAACTGTTTTCTAATAAGCACAAAAGGAAGTCCCGCACCTTCAGTGGTTTTGAGCTTAATTCTTGGCAATAAAGCTTTTTTCCCAACATTGTGGCCAATAAGTATTTCAACATCAAGCAAATTCATAAAAAAAACTACGACATAATAACCTTTTACCATTATATAACCCAAATTTAGGGTTTATGTTTCGCATCAACATCAGCGGAGTCCCTATTTTTATCTTTAAAATATGTGGTGGTAAAGTACCAGGAGCAATTGTGTATAAGTATTCATGTTGATATAGATTTTGAGTATTACCATCAACCTCATCAAAAGGTAACAAAATATGTTCATCTCTAAAGAATTTATTAATAATCATGTCATTTAAGATATGTACATCACAAGTTTTAGAAGTAAGTATGGTTCTCTCCACCATATATGAAGCATCTCATCCATGATTTTCTAATTTGAGAAATGTCTGATATTACTATTTCAGCAAGCATCCTGACTATGTCATCCTCTTTATTATCCCTAAAAAAATCAATATGTGGCACAACATGCATAATAGAGCGATTTTTAAAAGTTTGCATTGATCAGTGCATACCAATTAAATTCTAATAATAATAATACCTCCATCAATAAATTAATTCAAAAACAGTTGAATAATAATCCATATGTGAATGGTGAAAAATCATCTTTGAAAGGAAAATAATTTGAAATCTAACAACAATATTTTCTACGCGTGACTTCTAAATAAGACAAAATCTTGTGGATAATACACCAAAATAATTATAAATGTAACTTATTAAAACCAATCACCAATTAAAATACATAGTATGTGTAAATTCATTTTTAACAAATTATAAGGAAAAAAAATTAATTAATTTGTTTTCTATGTATGATCACGAGCAAACACTCTTCAAAATTCTTAAAAAATTGCAAGAAAAAAGTCACCATGCAAAGAAGAGTTATATGTGTTAAAGTTTTCATAAATTTTTTTTTATGGAAGTTAATAATCGTTAAAGAACAAAAATAACCAACGACTCATATTCAGGTTATCTATAATTATAAAAGTTAGATTTAACTTAACTAAAATCATCATAAATTTAATATAATCCATATATAGTGTAATTTTGTCCATAAACCATACAATAGAAAAAACATATTATATTATTTAGTCATTATCATTGCATAATCACCAACTAATAATACTTGAAAATAAACATTTTTGAAAATACAAATACAAATTACATAACATAGACGGTGATCATTGTATAATCACCTACTATTACTTAGATATAAACTTTTTTAAAAATGCAGAAACAGAAATACAAATTACACAACTTAGACGATAAAAAGATAACATAATAATAAATAAAAGAGAGTATCTTCTTCAACCTCCGAAATCGTATAAAGTTCTTCCTTGTCTCTTAAGAGTATACACAACATCCATGGCAGTCACAACCTTTCTTCTTGCATGATTAGTATATGAAGCAGCATCATGAATGATTTTTGTCAAGAAAACCTTGAGAAATTTTGAGTATACACAACATCCATGGCAGTCACAACCTTTCTTCATATATCAAACCACTTATACTCTTGACACCTTCTCTCCTAGCCAATCTACGAATCACTGGCTTTGTAATTCCTCAAATGTTGTCGCGCAAAATCATCTTGTGCCTCTTTGCTCCTGCCTTTCTGAGCCCTTGAATACCATTTCCACGACTTGCCATTTTTGTAAGAAATTTTGAGAAACTGTTTATTCTTTTGAATTTTGAATGTGAAAAATTAAAAGATGAAAGAGGTATTTATATATCATTCTGAGCGGGAAATGAAGAAACTGCTTATCCTCTATTGTTGGATTTAAAGTAATACACAGTTTAGATTGGCTGAGATTTTTCAAAATTTTAAAATTATTATATAATTTATTTTAAAAAATCGTTTTTAAAATAAATTAAAATATTGGTTAATTATATTTTCAAAAACTGTATTTTAAGAACTCCAATAAATTTTTTTAGGCAATTATAATTCACTTATCCGTACAATTCATTAAATTGTATGAGAAAAATTATTGATAATAATGATCAGTAATTATTTAACTTTTTAAAAGATAATATGTAATTGTGATTATTTTAAGTATGTAATTTATCAAAACTGATAGTATACAGACTTTACAATCATTATCATTCAGTTTTATTAAGAAAAAGTTTTGGAAAACTTTAGTCATAAATAAAATACATTATAAATCTTCAAAATTAAAACAATTATATATAGTAATATTAGTTGAGTACGAAAGTTGTTATATGCTTCTATTTCATTCAATATGGGATTAATGAGTTATAAAACAGTTAATCATTTTTAGAAGTTACTACTACTTTTTTATTATTATTTCTTATTTAACTAATTTAATTAAGTATGAAAGTTGTTATATGCTTCTATTTCATTCAGTAATGGGATTAGTAGGTTATAAAACAGTTAATTATTTTTAGAAGTTACTACTACTTTTTTATTATTATTTCTTATTTAATTAATAAACTATTTGTTACTAAAGATGAGGAATAATAATTTATTAATCTATTAACAGTAAAAAAAATAATAGTGTAAAAAAATCAATTTTTAAGGGCAAAATTGAAAGTAAAAAAAAGATACACCAACATAGTGTTTTGCCTTTATATATTGTTATAGATATGTAGTAATTTGGAGTTTAACATTATCCTTGTTTTATATTAATTCACAACAAAATTCATTTTTGACTAAATTAATTTTTTTTTTTAACAAATCCGATTAACATTAAAGACTTAATACTCTTTTGGTCAAATATATTAATATAAGAGTTCTTTTTTATTTCTCAATTTAAAAGTGATAGATTGTTTTTTTTAACGAAGGTCCTAGCTGACATAGATTCACATGTAGATGTGAACGTATCTATGAAACACCACCTGTAGATTATTCATTTTAATATCTATCTTTTAAATCTTTCTTTTACTTCTATTTTATATTATCACTACAAAGTCTATTTTTGACTAAATTGTATAATCTTTTTTTAAAAATTCGAGTTCTTTTTATTTCTCAATTTACTTTTCAATTTAAAAGTTTGTGTATACTATTAGTCTATATTTATAACTATATCAATGTTAACCAATTAAAAAAATAATCCAAACTTGATTGCAATACACACTTGAAGGTCTAAATAAAAGAAATTTAAATTTATTGTTGTTACAGATATTTTTTATAACCGAATATAAAATAAGTGTAATGTTGATACAAATAATTTT